AGTAGTAGTGCAGCTAGCTAGATGGCCCTTTGATATAGTTTGCTGTGTTTGCAACACAGTGTGGGCTAGCAGGTATCCTTTCTTCAAAGTTTAGGAGCCAGAAGGGTCAAAAGAGCCAGCAGAATCGCCGACCGCGCTGAAGGTGTAACAATCGGGTGTGGTGTTTTATGAGTGATGAATATCTTCTATACATGTGGCGTATATTGGACAAGATGTACGTTTAGTATTAACCCTCCGAGGATAATATCTTCCATTTACACAACAACAGCAAACTCCACAGCCAGCAGAAGGAACCTAGGGCCTTCTCACTGCGTAGCTCAGGCCAAGCCGGCGACGTCAGAAGCCAAGCCGGAGAAGGAGAAGTTGGAACTGAGGGCAAGCAGGGCTAGAAAGAATCTTTTCTTAGCTTTGGTCAGTGGTCAGTTGCTGGATTTTCGAGATAAAACCATATATATATATAGATAGATAGAGTATTGGATTCTCGGATCTCGGATGTGCTTTAAAGTGTTTAAATATCCAGATAGAGTAGTGGATATTCTCTAATGTGCATGAATTTCTTCTATCTATACAGCACACCTGTTGCCTCTCATGTTGCAGGAAGCTACACAAGCCGCGGAACTGACGGCAGAGCCGAATGAGGTAGGATCGAGAGATGTCTATATGGCGGCAGAGACGTCTGATCACCTAAAATCATGTCAAATAGAAGATATTCATTTCACATTTTGGAAGTTCCCCTTCCTATGAATCCACCTCACCAGAGCCGAATGAGGTAGGCGGCAAAAGTGGCAGCTGTAGACACATGGAAACACAGTCTAACAACATCCCACGAGTAAAATCTTCTATATACACGCCCACCATGTACGATTGACGTTGCAGGCAGCAGCAGAGTTGCCAGCGGTGGAGAAGAAGGTAGGCGACCCACAGTGGAAGTTTTGGCGATCGAACAACACACCAGGAAACACAGTGTATATATATATAAACCTTCCCTGCCTAATATCTTCTATTTACACACCAGCAGCAAACTACGCAGCCGACACCAAACCTTATAGCGCATTCTCACTGCTTGGCTCAGGCCAAGCCGGCGACGTCTAAAGCCAAGCCTGGGAAGAAGGTGGAATTGCAGGAGTGGGGTTAGCAGGTATCCTTTCATCATATTTTATGCTTTTTGGAGTGGTTTGGCCAGTTGCCGGATTCTATATATATATATATATTTATATAACTATGTACTGGTATGTCCAAGGAGCGCAATTGATAGAATATTTGATTCTCGGATATCCTCTAATGTGCATGAATTTCTTCTATCTATACAGCACACCTGTTGCCTCTCACGTTGCAGGAAGCTAAGCAACCGACGACGACTGCAAAGCAAACGAAGGCCGGCTGCTCTTTAGGGCGGCGTTTTAGGAACGCGTCTCACTAACCATTTGATTGTTTGTTCAAATTTCTCTTGGTGTGCCTGCCAGCAGCCTTTCCGTGAAGCAAGCGCTGGGTATGGTTGATACTTCGGTAGTCTGGGCCTTGTGAGATGGCGGGCACGTTTGAGCGCTCTTTGCAGTTTTGCTCTGGCAGCCTGAACATCGAGGAAGATTCTCAGCAGCCGGAGGAGTCTGGCACCAGCCTGGAAGGAAAGGGGATTGAGGCTTTTGTGCCTGCTGTGCAATCTTACCCTTGTGCAGGGGCCTTCGTTGCGGGAGATTCACAGACAACGGAGGTTGGCGGCCATGTTGAGACAGCTGAAGTCATGAACAGCTTGTGGGATGATTCCCTGCAACCAGAGTCCCAGGCCGCCAGTGTGGTGTCCACATCACGCTACTTGACAACCACTCCAGAGATTCTCAGTGCTTCGCTGCGAATCCAAATGGCATTGCTGAAGGAGATGAAGTCTTTGAACAGCAAGATCAGCAATCTCGGACCCATCAGTGCTTCCCCCAAGAGAAAAAGGTCTCGCTCCCGATCTCCAACAAGAGGTGGCAGTTGAGATGATGCGAGAGATGGACGATTAGTGTGAGCGGCTGCATTTTCTCACACTTATATAGTGCTGCCAGTTTGTAGTTGCTTTGTGGCGTAATCTTCCCCAACCCTCGCCTCCAGCAAAAAAGATTTTGCGAACTCTGAAGCCGTCTTCATCTTGGGTGAAATCACTGGTAGAGTCAGTTTGGTGATGAATGCTATATATATATATGTATGAGCTTTTCTATTTTCCTGACGTGCGTTGAATATCTTCTATATATACGAGGCAAACATTTCGAGGGTGGCTGAAGTCACGGTGATCCAGGCATCTAAGCAGCCGACTCCAGAGTCAAAAGAGCCAGCAGAATCGCCCACAGCGCCAAAGGTGCAACGATCGGGTGTGGTGATGCGCTATTATCCTCTAATGTGCAGTAATTTCTTCTATCTATACAGCACACCTGTTGCCTCTCATGTTGCAGGAAGCTACACAACCAGCCGGAGAGCAGACGAAGGTCGGCGACCCAGAGCGGAAGCTAGAGCTTTAACGAGCCTACAGCACACCCAAGGTGGTGACACCCAAAGCCAAGACGGGGAAGGAGTATATCCTAAGCTTTTGAGATTGGTTTTGCCGGTTGCAGGATTTCTTCTATACATATATATATGTTTGTGTCTTGAAGCCGTTTCATGTTGCAGGAAGCT